AAATAATAATAAAAATAATAATAATCGTAAAGCGATGAATATTATACTTAATCATTACTCGAGTCTTTGGAATGCTTTCAAGTTGCAATAAAACTAATAAAAATTGTCGATAATTTGATCAATTAATTTGTATAAAAAAATAGAAAAAGAAATGAAGAGAAGATTGAAACAAAAATTTGTCAAGAAATGAATATATCATATAATAATAAATAATAATAATAATCGTAAAGCGATGAATATTATACAAAATCATTACTCGAGTCTTTGGAGTGCTTTCAAGTTGCAATAATGAGAAAGAGGGAGGGTGGGTGGGAGTTTGGAAGGGAGGAAAGTGGTTTATATAGGCAACTGGCTTTTTGGATCGTTTAAATCAACCCTTTACTTTCATCCCCCTTTTGGATGCCAGTAAGAGACGGTATTCATTAAAATATCGCATGATCGATGAGAGAGATACCAACTACTATTAACCAGCAACACGAAAATCCTCTACTTTAATCTAAAGCGGATGTCTAGACGGAAATGAAATTTCACTTTATCCACCCATTATCTTCTTCTATTTCTTCTCTTTTCCTTTTTTTTTTCTTTTCCTTTTCTTTACTTTTCTTTTTTAGTTTCTTCTCTTTTTTTGTTTTTTTTTTTTTAATCATTCCTAAACGATTATTAAAACGTTTAATTTAAACACTTTACGGTTTATTTTCTATGAGTTAAAATAAAAAAACAAAAAAAAAAAAAAAAGAGAAGGATGCATTTAAATGCAGGTAATTAAATAAAAAAAAAAAACAGAGAAGGAAAAAAAAAATACGCGTCGAATTGAAATAAAATGAATATGGCTAGGGGGGACACCGCAAAACAAAACAAAACAAACAAAAAAAAGTAATAATGATAATAATAATAATAAAAATTGTGGCAGTCGTAACGCGTGAGAAACTTGACGCACCGACGAAGGTTTCATTTAACTGCGTTTTTACGATTAATTCCCGTAATTCAAGGTTATGGGAATGATCGTGGAAAAGGAGGATGAGGTGGAGGAAGGGGGGAGATGGGGAACGTGGTCAAGGGTCATGAATCATCATCATCATCATCATCGTTGCTTTCTGATGCAACTTGTTCATATTTTATTTTTCTTTTCGTTTTAATAAAAAAAAGATATATATAGATATATCTACACGATTTTTCAATTACATGCGATAACCTGAAATAAAAAAATACTTTAAACAATAGTTTGATCGATTGACACTACATTGCAATAAAAAAAAGTTCGAAAAAAATTTTGTATACTTATAGCACGGGGATTTTAATGATTTTTATATTAAATTAAAGTACATTCTTTTTTCTACGCGTAGAATACCTTATTAAGTTATAAATAGATCTGCAAAAGTTAAGGAAATGTCAGAGAATGCAATGCTGTAAATTGTGCATCTTTGCAATTTCTTTGAAAAGTTTTGGTCAATATTTTTTATACTAAAAGTGAATAGATTTTAATGATTTTTATATTAAATTAAAGTACACTCTTTTGTCTACGCGTAGAATACCAACCTGAGTTATAAATTTAGCATGAAAAGTTTAGAAATGTCAGAGAATGCAATGCTGTAAATTGTGCATCTTTGCAATTTTTTTGAAAAGTTTTGGTAAATATTTTTTATATTAAAAGTAAATAGATTTTAATGATTCTTATTTTAAATTAAAGTATACTCTTTTATCTACGCGTTGAATACCATTTTCAGTTATAAATTTAGCATGTAAAGTTTAGAAATGTCAGAGAA